GTAATTATACGCTTCTTCCTGCGCGCACTCAGAATCTGCAGCAATGAGTTCCTTGAGGAAGAATGCACTATAATTGAACAAGTATTTTCTAAACTCCACTATCCTCGTCACTTCATCAGAGACTGCAGACGGCGGGCATTAAACATATTCAACACACCCAGAGAAGACACTGCCGAGAAGAGATACATAGTCCTCCCCACCAACTCCATTGCCAAACATATTTCCAACATCTTTTCCAGTACATCATTCCAAGTATCTACCTCCACAACCACGACCATCAAGGACATATTTCAGAACACCAATACGCAAGCAGGACTGACGATACAAGGAATGCCTGTGTACAACATCGCAATTCACACAACCATTTAATTAACTACAGAAACTCAAGACTTATCGCCACAGAAGACAACACTCAATACCGAAGAATCCTGGAATCATCGCTTATCTCTATAACCAACAATTTCAACCAGAACAATGGCTTCCATAACATAGCTGAACCACTTGCAAAGAAACTTCTTCATCGCTATCCCACATAAGAACATAGAACACTGCAGAAGGTCTACTCACAACTTGTCCAATACCCCTGCCAAGCTACCCAAGACTCTATAACCCCACCCGGTAGATCATCAGATGCAGCATTCTCCACCTGACCTCAACATTCTGAACCTGACTATAAATACTCCCGTACCTTTCACCCCAGGTAGATCTGTGTGTGACTTGAAAAAGCCCACTGTGTGGGCGAAACGTTGTCAATAAAGGATCACATTAAACTGCATATGTGTTTATGTTTCCAGTGTGTCAGTATTTTATACCATTTATTTTCACGGTGAGTCCTTGGAAGTGAAGAGGTTGTGCCAACATCTTGAAGACTAAGGCCTAGTTGCACTGTCAAGGCATGTACCACCTGTGTGGTGTGAAGTATGTAAATTATGTTAGTGATAATGCCTCTTTGTCGAGTAGTCAGTAAGCAGATGTATATATGTACAATTTTACACAATTTTGGGTGATTACAATTGTCTAAGACAGTAACATGTGCTTAAATTACTCAAGATAACCAAAAAAAAAAAAAAGGTCAAAATGCCTTATTTTCATTATCGTAAGCTTAGCCATTTCTTATGCATATTGTTAGTTTGAAAGATGTTAAATAGTCCTATATTTTGGCTTGAATGCCACCTCAGAGCCAATCTCCAGTTAGCATCGCGTGCCAAGTCAATTACTGTTAACGTAGAGAGTTAGTTTAATATGTTTATTATGCACCCCATACCCATCCTGTGGGCGGTAGTCAAAAGATTACAGAGGTAGAAGTGATGCAAGGAGGGAAGAGTATATGGAGAAAAAGAGAGAGGTTAAGAGAGTGGTGAAGCAATGTAAAAAGAGAGCAAATGAGAGAGTGGGTGAGATGTTATCAACAAATTTTGTTGAAAATAAGAAAAAGTTTTGGAGTGAGATTAACAAGTTAAGAAAGCCTAGAGAACAAATGGATTTGTCAGTTAAAAATAGGAGAGGAGAGTTATTAAATGGAGAGTTAGAGGTATTGGGAAGATGGAGGGAATATTTTGAAGAATTGTTAAATGTTGATGAAGATAGGGAAGCTGTGATTTCGTGTATAGGGCAAGGAGGAATAACATCTTGTAGGAGTGAGGAAGAGCCAGTTTGTGAGTGTGGGGAAGTTCGTGAGGCAGTAGGCAAAATGAAAGGGGGTAAGGCAGCCGGGATTGATGGGATAAAGATAGAAATGTTAAAAGAGGTGGGGATATAGTTTTGGAGTGGTTGGTGCAATTATTTAATAAATGTATGGAAGAGGGTAAGGTACCTAGGGATTGGCAGAGAGCATGCATAGTTCCTTTGTATAAAGGCAAAGGGGGATAAAAGAGAGTGCAAAAATTATAGGGGATAAGTCTGTTGAGTGTACCTGGTAAAGTGTATGGTAGAGTTATAATTGAAAGAATTAAGAGTAAGACGGAGAATAGGATAGCAGATGAACAAGGAGGCTTTAGGAAAGGTAGGGGGTGTGTGGACCAGGTGTTTACAGTGAAACATATAAGTGAACAGTATTTAGATAAGGCTAAAGAGGTCTTTGTGGCATTTATGGATTTGGAAAAGGCGTATGACAGGGTGGATAGGGGGGCAATGTTGCAGATGTTGCAAGTGTATGGTGTAGGAGGTAGGTTACTGAAAGCAGTGAAGAGTTTTTACGAGGATAGTGAGGCTCAAGTTAGAGTATGTAGGAAAGAGGGAAATTTTTTCCCAGTAAAAGTAGGCCTTAGACAAGGATGTGTGATGTCACCGTGGTTGTTTAATATATTTATAGATGGGGTTTGTAAGAGAAGTAAATGCGAGGGTCTTGGCAAGAGGCGTGGAGTTAAAAGATAAAGAATCACACACAAAGTGGGAGTTGTCACAGCTGCTCTTTGCTGATGACACTGTGCTCTTGGGAGATTCTGAAGAGAAGTTGCAGAGATTGGTGGATGAATTTGGTAGGGTGTGCAAAAGAAGAAAATTAAAGGTGAATACAGGAAAGAGTAAGGTTATGAGGATAACAAAAAGATTAGGTGATGAAAGATTGAATATCAGATTGGAGGGAGAGAGTATGGAGGAGGTGAACGTATTCAGATATTTGGGAGTGGACGTGTCAGCGGATGGGTCTATGAAAGATGAGGTGAATCATAGAATTGATGAGGGAAAAAGAGTGAGTGGTGCACTTAGGAGTCTGTGGAGACAAAGAACTTTGTCCTTGGAGGCAAAGAGGGGAATGTATGAGAGTATAGTTTACCAACGCTCTTATATGGGTGTGAAGCGTGGGTGATGAATGTTGCAGCGAGGAGAAGGCTGGAGGCAGTGGAGATGTCATGTCTGAGGGCAATGTGTGGTGTGAATATAATGCAGAGAATTCGTAGTTTGGAAGTTAGGAGGAGGTGCGGGATTACCAAAACTGTTGTCCAGAGGGCTGAGGAAGGGTTGTTGAGGTGGTTCGGACATGTAGAGAGAATGGAGCGAAACAGAATGACTTCAAGAGTGTATCAGTCTGTAGTGGAAGGAAGGCGGGGTAGGGGTCGGCCTAGGAAAGGTTGGAGGGAGGGGGTAAAGGAGGTTTTGTGTGCGAGGGGCTTGGACTTCCAGGAGGCATGCATGAGCGTGTTTGATAGGAGTGAATGGAGACAAATGGTTTTTAATACTTGACGTGCTGTTGGAGTGTGAGCAAAGTAACATTTATGAAGGGATTCAGGGAAACCGGCAGGCCGGACTTGAGTCCTGGAGATGGGAAGTACAGTGCCTGCACTCTGAAGGAGGGGTGTTAATGTTGCAGTTTAAAAACTGTAGTGTAAAGCACCCTTCTGGCAAGACAGTGATGAAGTGAATGATGGTGAAAGTTTTTCTTTTTCGGGCCACCCTGCCTTGGTGGGAATCGGCCAGTGTGATAATAAAATAAAATAAAATAATTGGTCCAGGGACTGGACTCCAAAGTTTTGATAGCTGAGCAAGTTACAGAGGTAATGAACTCACAATTTACAAAGGTAATGAACTCACAATTTACAAAGGTAATGAACTCCAGGTAGGTCTGGTCACAATCATGACAAGTTACAAAGGTATTGACAGATTACAGAGGTACGTAATGGGTCCAGGGACTGGGCCCCCAAAGTTGTGATAGCTGAACTAGGTACAAAGGTAATGAATTCTGTAGAATGGTTACTTACGTTTATACATGGCTACAATCATGAACAAATTATAGAGTAATGAGCAATTCACACTTCCACACCCGGTCACAACTGTAATGAGTTATTGGTGCAAATATTGATTGTTGAACAAGACGTAGAGACACACCAGTTCCATTTCTACCGATAACGAAGTTACGTTAGTTTACGTTAGCTTATATTGTTTATAAGTTACATTATGTTAGGTTTTCTCCACTTGCACAAAATAAAACCATTTATGTAGCAGAACCCACTTAATATTGGAAATCTTCAGCTATAATTTATTCTTAAAATATGCCAGTATTCAGTTATTACTTTAGGCCTAGTATCAGTAAAGTCAGGAATAAATAGTAGTATGTCATTGATGTCAGCTAGGACTGTATACGTTGTACATATAGAAATTATTATTATTATTATTATTATTATTATTATTATTATTATTATTATTATTATTATTATTATTATTATTATTATTATTATTATTATTATTATTATGAGACATGTCTCGCCAAATAGTGGGGTTCCATTGGTCCTCAGGTGTAAGTTGAACATTCTAACCACTGCGCAGTGAGAATATAAAGTATCCACACTAAATGTTAACTCGTTGTACCTAGGTAACTTGTTGAATGTATACTTCTCTCGTGTCCATTATCAGCATGATTTGAGCTGTGTAATATTAGTGATATAATAGTTTTTTTTTTTCTACAAGTACATGTACAAGGTATACAGGCTTGGCTGACATCTCTGACTTCCAGATTTCTGCTCATCTTTGTGATATTTGCATTGCTATTGTTATCCAAAGCATGTTGTGGGAAGCAAGTGCACATATAGAAAGGATGCATGTGTGCTATGGTTTTCTCCCCTACTCAGCACTTAAGATTGAAACACTGCACTATTTTGTAATATATTCATTTAGAATTTAAAACTTGTGTTATGGTTTACAGTAATACTCTTCCACACAGATAAATTTGTTTAAACTTTATTCATAATTTTATTCAAGTTTGTACCAGTGCTATACCTTCTGTTTGACAATTTATGATGTATGTTGATGAGATGCAGTTATGACTAGTATCCCCTCAAGGAAGGTTCCTTGATGTTGGTGAGGGGCTCTTGATTTAGGGAATTGGATCTGTGCTCCAGTTCCCCGAATTAAGCCTGAATGCCTTCCACATCCCCCCCCCCAGGCGCTGTATAATCCTCCGGGTTTAGCGCTTCCCCCTTGATTATAATAATATAATAATAATAATATGACTAGTATACTAACAGCCACTTTTGACAAATTAATTCAACAGTGCAATATGGTTGCAGAAACTGGTGTTTGTTGGTGGCTCTAGTGAGAGGCTCCTCAACAGTGAATGATTCTCTCCTCAAGATTGGGGCATGATTTTCAACATTAATAAGGACCTTCTTCCACTCAAGATCCATTATTTCCTGAAATATGGAGGTACACTAGTTTTGTTTAAATACTGTTTTGTGTATGTGTGTGCATGTAGTAACCATTTTTTTTTTTTTTTGCTGCATGTGTTTAGTAAAATGATTAAAACTTTTGCTTGTTGTTATCTTGCTTACACATAAATTTCTAGTACGGTAGTTGTAGCATACATGACCTCTGATATCATTCCAGCTTTCAACGATTGTATGAAAATTCTTGCTTTTCTGTGTGTGCTACTTTTTGTGTAATATACACCCTCTCTATTGTTGGTACAAAGAAACTTCAATTTTCCCTTATATCCTTTTATGATTTTTTTTTTTTTTTGTTGAAATGATGTCAGTTTCTCAAATGTGTTTCACCACACCACAGCTGCAATTGCCAATTTTGGTCTAACATATACAATATTATCCTGACGTCAAATGACTTTGAAAAGGCGATAAATGACATGCCTATGCACTCTGCCCCCAGGCCCAGACTCGTGGAACTGTGTTCATCAAGAACTGCAAGAAGCCCCTTTCATGTGCTTTTAACATCCTATGGAGAGGGAGCATGGACACTGGGGTTGTTCCACAGCTGCTAAAAACAACAGACATAGTCCCACTCTACAAAGGGGGCAGTAAAGCAATAGCAAAGAACTTCAGACCCATTGTGTTAACATCCCATATCATAAAAATCTTTGAAAGGGTTCTAAGAAGCAAGATCGCCACCCATCTCCATACCTATCAGTTACACAACCCAGGACAACTTGGGTTTAGAGCAGGTCGATCCTGTCTGTCCCAACTACTGGACCACTATGACAAGGTCCTGGATAATCTAGAAGACAAACAAAATGCTGATGTAGTACTGTATACACAGACTTTGCAAAAACCTTTGACAAGTGTGACCATGGTGTAATAGCACACAAAATGTGTGATAAAGAAATAATAGGAGAAATTGGTAGATGGATCTATAATTTCCTAAAAAATAGAACACACAGAGTAAAGTCTGAGGCAGCTACAGTGAAAAGCTCGTTTCACAAGGTACAGTACTCTCTCCCATCCTGTTCCTCATCCTCATATCTGACATAGACAGGGATGTAAGCCAAAGTGCTGTGTCTTCCTTTGCAGATGACACTCGAATTTGCATGACAGTGTCCTCCATTGAAGACACTGCAAGACTCCAGGCGGATGTCAACCAAATCTTTAAATGGGCTGCAGAAAACAACATGAAGTTCAATGATGAGAAATTTCAATTACTCAGATATGGAAAACATGAGGAAATTAAAACTATATTGGAATATAAAACAAATTCCAACCACACAATAGAACAAAAAACTAATGTAAAAGACCTGGGAGTGATCATGTCAGAGGATCTCACCTTCAAAGACCATAACAGTGTATCAATCACATCTGCTAGAAAAATGACAGGATGGATAATGAGAACCTTCAAAATTAGGGATGCCAAGCCCATGATGACACACTTCAGATCGCTTGTTCTATCTAGGCTGAAATATTGCTGCACACTAACAGCACCTTTCAAGGCAGGTGAAATTACTGACCTAGAAAATGTACAGAGAACCTTCACGGCGCGCATAACGGAGATAAAACGCCTCAATTACTGGGAACGCTTTAAGTTCCTCAACCTGTACTCTCTAGAATGCAGGCGGGAGAGATACATGATTATATACACTTGGAAAATCCTAGAGGGATTAGTACCAAACTTGCACACGAAAATCACTCCCTATGAAAGAAAGAGATTTGGCAGACAATGCAACATCCCCCAATGAAAGTAGGGATGCCACTAGCACGATAAGAGACAACACAATAAGAGTGTCAGGGGCCCAAGACTGTTCAACTGCCTCCCAGCATACATAAGGGGGATTACCAATAGACCCCTGGCTGTCTTCAAGAAGGCGCTGGACAGGCACCTAAAGTCAATACCTCACCAGCTGGGCTATGGTTCATACATCAGGTTGTGTGCAGCCAACAGTAATAGCCTGGTTAATCAGGCCCTGATCCACCGCGAGGCCTGGTCACAGACTGGGCCATGGGGGCATCGACCCCCGAAACCCGTTGTATACTCCATGTATTATGAAGACATTATTCAATATTTTACCATTCATCAGAGAAAGTGCTGATTCTTATAGGATCCCACAGGTATACTGTCACACAAGAACATTCTTTTTTAATTACATTTTGCATTTATGTATTATATAAATTCAAGAACTGTAAATACAGTGGTACCTCGGGATATGAAGAGCTCAAAACTCAAACATTTATGTAAGTGCTTTTGTAAGTGTATTTTTGGGGGCCTGAAACGGATTAATCTGGTTTGCATTATTCCTTATGGGAACAAATTCGTTCAGTATCTGCACTCGAACAGCCTTCTGGAACGAAAAAAATTTGTATCCCAAGGTACCACTGTACTGGCTGTCCACCCATTCTGTTCATATATAATTTATGTGACTTATCATAGTAGCTCAGTACATTGAAAATAGATAATTTTGCTGATCTCAAACAACAGTTTTACAGTTATGATTGTAAGTTTTTGCTACAGATGGTTCTTATTTTCTGCTTTTATCTAGTAGTTTTCAAGTTTTGTAATTTTGGTAATCAAGAGTGTACAACTTTGTTCTTCTGCACACTTCCTTCAGCCCTCAAAGGCTAATTATCTATTTCTACTGACTTAGTACACTGTTTTTATTAATCTCAGCTTTTATATTTTATTTCTGATTACAATGGCCAACAGTGGTTTCAGTTCATGTTCAAAAACATATTTCTGATTAATTTTGAGTTGCTGAATCCAAATCTTAACTAAGTTTTGCTCCAAAAGTTATAGTTTCTGTGAAATAGAACCCCCACTTGAATTGTCTCTTCAAGAAAACATGGTTTTCCAGCACCTCATATTTAACCATTCCCTCATATTTGCTCTGTCTCATTTTTTGGGATGATCTATTTAATACCATTGCTGTATACATATATACAGCTCTTGAGATTGATCCCTTTCAGTGTTGCAGTTCATTTAATCTAATTCTATTTTAGATCTGCTTACTTTACTATTTTGTAATTAAGCTTATCTTGCTTGAATTTATCTTTCCCATCATCATAATCTTATTGTACATTGCAATAAAAGCAGTATTACAGAGGCACCTATGAGTCCAGGGACTGGGTACCAAGGTTCTGTTGACTGAACAGTTAATAAATACAGTTACATGTTAGAAATACACTAGGACAAGGGATTGAGCAAAGGTTGTTAATTTGATGGCTTTACTAGGCCCTGTGGGTGATAGTGCTCTGTTGAACAAGTGACAGTGGTTGAGGGTTGCTGCATTTAAAGTAGGCAAAGTTAAAGTGCTTGGGAAGAACTTTTGGTAATGTGTAATTATGGATGAAATGTTTAGGCATTATTGTTTCGACTCACTAATTTTGTGATTGATTTTATTATTCTTGTAAAATGCTCATTATTTGGCTAACAGAATATTGGAGGCCCTGGACACATTGTGCCTAGTCTTATGACTAATGTCCACAGAATGGGTGTGGGGTGCATAAAACTATTGAACTAAAATTAGTCAAGATTTACTGTTGTACATAAATTGTCTCTTGATAGATCATGATAACTTTTCTTAAATAGATCTCCTAGTAAACACTAGATCTAAAATAGAAGGCATGTAATCTCTCACTTGAGTTACCTGTTTAATACAGCAATGTAATGGTGACCACCTAATACAGGTACATTAAGGGATGCGTCTGGAATTAGTAGAGAGCCTAGGATGCTGCCTTTTGGTGCCCAATGTATGGGTAGAATTGATGAGGATGATCACATGTTGGTATCTGTTATTGAGGTAAGGTTTAATAAAGGATATTATAATCAACATATCCAAATGCTTTTCACAGATCTATAAATAGGCTTAGTGGATACTCGTTATTTTCAAGTGAGGTATTTATTTTCGTTATGGCATTGTTTATAATGGTTGTTTTCATGTTTTTTGACCTGAAATCAAACTGACATTCATTTAGTATGATATGTTTTGTTTCATTTTGTAGGGGTGTAATTGTCTGTGTACGTCTTATTTGAGATTGGATATGAGGGTAAATTATTCAGAGGATTGTTGAATAAGTTGAATAAATTAGGTTCAGTGACAGATACATTAAAGTATTTCTTTGCCAGCATTTTACTTTTGCTTGTGATTTCATGCCACTTCATGCTTCCACTTTTTTTTACTCCAATACATTGTACCATATGTTATACAGTGGACCCTCAACTAATGGCTGCATTAAGTAGCGGCAAATTCGTCTAACGGCGCTTTTTGGCATAAAAAAATGTCTCTACCAATGGCGAAAAACTCTACCAGTGACGTTCGTCCAGAACATGTCCATGCGGGCCCAGCCACTCCAAGACTCTGTGTGCCATTGTTTACAAGCTGTTGTGGTCGATTCCACGTGTGCCTGCCATATATTTTGGATTATTCCAGTGTTTTTAGTGCTTGTAACCGCTAAATAAGCCACTGTGGACCCCAAGAAAGCTCTTAGTGCAAGCTTGTGTTAAAAAGGGTAAGAATTACAATGGAAATGAAGAAAGAGATAATTGAAAAATACGAGAGTGGAGTGCATATGTCTGAGTTGGAAAGGCAATACAACAAATCACATTCAACCATCAGTATTATCTTGGCAAACAGAAAGGCAGTCAAGGAAGCTGTTGTTGCGAAAGGTTCAAGTATGTTTTCAAAATGGAGACCACAAATAAATGAAGAGGTAGAGAGACTGTTATTGGTATTGATAAACGAAAAACAATTATCAGGAGATAGTGTTTCTCAGTCTATAATTTGTGAAAAGGCAAGAAAGTTGCATGATGATCTCATTAAGAAAATGCCTCAAAATAGTGCTGCTGCTGATGAATTTAAGGCCAGCAAAGGCTGGTTTGAGAGATTTAAGATTCGTAGTGGCATACACAGTGTGGTAAGGCATGGTGAGGCAGCCAGTTCAGACAAAAAAGCGGCTGAAAAATATCTGAAGGACTTTAAGGAATACATAGAGACTGAAAATTTAAAACCTGAACAAGTGTTTAATTGTGACGAAACAGGCCTGTTTTGGAAGAAAATGACAAACAGGACCTACATTACTCAGGAGGAAAAGGCACTCCCAGGACATAAGCCTATGAAAGACAGGCAGACATTAATGTTGTGTAGTAATTCCAGTGGTGACTGCAAAGTGAAGCCTTTATTGGTGTATCACTGAAACTCCCAGAGTGTTCAAGAAAAACAATATCGTCAAGGGTAATTTGTGTGTGCTGTGGAGATCAAACAGTAAAGCATGGGTCACTAGGGAATTTTTCTTGGGCTGGTTTTATGGTGTGTTTGGCCCCACTGTGACAAAATACCTCCAGGAAAAGAAATTGTCACTCAAGTGCCTCCTGGTAATGGAAAATGCTCCTGCTCATCCTCACGACTTGCAAGAAAAATTGCAGGGGAGTTTGGTTTCGTTAAGGTGAAGTTTTTGCCTCCTAATACAACTCCTCTCCTCCAGCCCATAGACCAGCAGGTCATTTCAAACTTCAAAAAACTCTACACACAAAAACAGTGTTTCAAAAGTGCTTTGAAGTGACCTCAGACACTCAGTTGACCCTAAGAGAGTTTTGGAAAGTTCACTTCAATATCCTCAGTTGTGTAAACCTTATAGGTAAGGTTTGGGAGGGAGTGACTAAGAGGACCTTGAACTCTGCTTAGAGGAAACTGTGGCCAGAATGTGTAGAAGAGAGGGATTTTGAAGGGTTTGGGGCTAACCCTCAGGAGGCTATGCCAGTAGTGGAAGCTGTTGTGTCATTGCGAAAGTCCTTGGGGTTGGAGGTTTGTGGCGAGGATGTGGACTTGGTACCTGAAGTATTTATGGAAGGGGATTACCCTTCCAAACAATAAAACACCTGCATTATCTTCCCTCCTACCATCTCATCACTCAACAACTCCACAATAAAGGTAAGTGGCATTTAATTATTGTTTATTTTGCATGTCCCATTCGTTTTGGTGTAGGGAAATGTATATTTCATGTAAAAAATTTTTTTTTTCATACTTTGGGGTGTCAGAAACAGATTAATTCTATATTCATTATTTCTTATAGGGAAAATTAATTCGACCAACGGCAAATTCGACTAACAGCAAGGTCTCTGGAACGGATTAATGCTGTTGGTTGAGGGTCTACTGTAATCCCTTCCTTCTGATACAGTTGTTGTATTGAGAATTATACATCAAATATCTTTTTACCTCTGCCTGCTCAAACAATTATAAACTGGTACCAGACTTACTATTTTAATGATCATTGTTGGTCCTTTCATTTGGGCACTGATTTTTTTAATAAAGTTTTTTGCTTCAAATGACCAGGAAGGTCTTGAATAATCCTCATTTAATTTCTACTGTATTGTAATTTCATAACCTAGTACCACTTGCCCTTTTACAAATAGACAATTAATTTTTTATATTTTATTTTATAAACTATCTTGTAACTTGTATCTTAACTATTTTAACTTTCTGTTAATATCATGTAATAGACATTAAAAATGTGAAAACTGTGTACAGTGTAAGTCCTTACTTAACATTGTCGATAGGTTCTTAGAAACTGTGAGTTAAGCGAAACGACGTATAATGAAACCACACCTTACTGACCATCATCAGATATCTTTAAAACTTCTAGTTTTGTTCTGAATGTCACACTTTTTTTTGGGGGGGGGGGCACAGACATAAGGGGTGCACAGTGCACCTTCAGCACTCATTGAAGCTTGTTTACCAATGCCTCGGGCTTACGACAGGCTCTCTGACCAGTATTCATACCTGGAGTTCCGCAGGGAAGTGTCCTTGGTCCCCTGCTCTTCCTCATATACATCAATGATCTTCCAAACGTATCCCAACACCTGAAACCCATTCTCTTTGCTGACGACATGACTTGTGTCATCTCTCACCCTAATCTTGCCACCCTCAACACCATTGTTAACAAGGAGCTGATCAAAATATCGACTTGGATGACAGCCAATAAACTTATGCTTAACACTGACAAAACCTACTATATTATGTTTGGTAGCAGAGCAGGAGTTGCGCAAATTAACATTAAGATCGACAACACTCCAATTACCAGACATAACGAGGGTAAATTCCTAGGCTTATACCTTGACAACAACCTGAATTTCAGCACCCATATCCAACACATAACCAAAAAAGTATCCAAAACGGTTGAGATCCTCTCCAAGATACGATACTATGTGCCGCAAAATGCCCTTCTCACACTATACCACTCACTTATTTATCCATACCTCACCTATGCTATTTGTGCTTGGGAATCAACTGCAGCAACACACCTAAAGCCAATAATAACCCAACAAAAAGCCGCAGTAAGAATAATCACTAAATCCCATCCCTGGCAACACACCCCCCCACTCTTCATAGATCTAAACTTACTCCCTGTTCAGTACATCAACACTTACTACTGTGCAATCTACATCTACAGGACCTTAAATTCCAATATTAACCTTGACCTAAAACGCTCTCTTGATAGTTGTGACAGATCCCACAGGCATAACACCAGACACAAACATCTCTATGACATTCCCCGTGTCCGACTAAACCTTTACAAAAATTCAATGTATGTCAAAGGCCCTAAAATCTGGAACACCCTACCTGAAAACTCCAGAACTGCAGACACATTCATCACCTTCGAAACTACCATTAGAAAACATCTTATCTCCCTGATACACCCCGTCAACTAACAACATGAATACCACCTGGTGGTTCACACTTACACTCACTCCCCATTTGTCCATAAACAGAAATATTAATCTCAATCTTAAAATAATGATTCCAAACTAGTCATAAGTTGGCCTGTGATACTCCAATACTGAAACTTTGTACTATGCCAAAACAAAGCATTCACATTGCTAAACTCACAAACTAGTATTTAGTCACTTAGCCATAATACCAACTTACCTCATAATTTGTAATATTTTAAAATTAAGAATTAAACTAAGTCTGCCTGAAATGCCTAGCCATGCTAGATGTTCTAGTGGTACACTCTGTAATTATTATTTTACTACATGTAAACCACACAATAACCAAATTCTGTAAACTCAGCATTGTAATCCTTATAGAGAATAAACTTTTAATTTTGAATTGAATATTAGAGCTGATTTCCTCTATTCTGTTTATTTCAGTATACGTATAGTACACTACTGTATAAACATTTAAAAATATACCAGAAATGTTATAAATGATGCAAAGGTGACATTGAAACAATGTCAGAGATGGTTGACACAAACGCACTACCATTATAGTATGCTCCTCATTTAGCGACGAATTCGTTTAACGACGTGATCTCAGGAATGGAATTCCGTTGTCAAGTGAGGAGAGGCTGTAGTAACAAATATGGCAGGTTCACTGAGTGCTTTCATACCGTATTTATTGTAGTGCATTTGCATGAATTGTATACTTTATGAATTTTTATTTTACAATAATTTGTATTCATTTGATTTTTTCTCATCAACAAAATGACGTTGAACAAAATGACATTATTCAAGGACCTGCTGTAGTTGTTATAAAGGTACTAGTCTATGTTTTGCTTGAAATGCTGTGCATCCTATGGGCTTTCTGATTATTGTATACTTTGCATGTACAGTGATTTGAAATAAGGAATCTAAATCTGAATCAAAATTTTCTATTTGAATTGGATCATTTTACTGTTTGGATATTTTTAAATACTGAATACAGCAATAGCTAATTTTTCAATCATTGGTTCATATGATTGTCTTAATCTGTATAGTAATTTCTGATCAATTTTAGTGATGCACTAATTCACATATGTACGTAGTTATTTTTGTGCATTAATACTTCCTTGATGAGGCTTTTTGATATAGTGACAAATTTAAGGTATTCATATGCTGCTGATGTTACCCTGTTTATGGCATTGTACACCTTGGAAATTAGGTGTGATGCCAATCCCTAGGTTCTGTTCTTTGAGGGATACATAGATACATAGAGGGATACATATTTTTGTCTTGGTGTGATCATATGTTATTGTTTGGATATTGAGGTGTAGGTATGAACAATCTTCATGCATATTATTTGCCTGCATTATTCATTTCATCTTTTTGTGTAACTAAGTAAATTAATATATTTGACACTATCCAAACACAGTAAAACTATTCATAAGCAAACAGGTTATTCTCATTAATATTTTACCATAGTTCAATAGTTATAGAGTTTCACAAATATGAATTGTGGGCTAATGATTTCTGTGGCTTATATATAGTTGGTTAGAGTACTGTATTGCATATTTTTTATAATACACCCACTGAGGTAGGGTGACCCAAAATAAGAGGAAACTCATTTACTGTCATTCATTTTATTGCTTTCTCTCCAGAAGTGTGTTGACATCACAGTTCAGAATTCCAATATACTCACCCCTCGTTTAGAGTGTAGGCAGTGTATTTCTCACTTTTAGGGCTCAGGTCTGGCTAACTGGTTTCCCTGAATTTGTTTTTAAATGCTACTTTTTGCACTCACCAACAGCATAACATATCCACTGCCTCTAGCCTCCTTGCTGCAACATTTAAAACCAATGCTTTACATTCAATATAAATGTATATTATTAAAACCTATACTGTATAATCCAAGCACAGTGATAATTATTTTTTTTCCATGTGTCAGAAATGTAATACTGTATCAAGTACTATTGGAGGCCAGAAGCTGTTTGAGCTTATTTAGGTTTAATGATAATGAATGATGTATTCTTTGAAAATTATTATTATGTTCTGTACATATAGGAGAATCCAGTTTTCATAATTGGCACAATTATGAAAACTGGATTCTCCTATATAATATCTGATAAAGTGCTCTGATATAAAATATTAAATTTTAACATCTGCTGTACCAATAATTTTTTTTACAACAAAGTAATTCCTCCACAGGAATATCGTTTTTCACATTCTTGCCAGTGGTGGCAAGGCAGAAGGGCATCCCAACGTTAGCTGTGGGCCTCATGTGGACAGTTACTCCTTTTGCAAGTTCTGCTATCACCTTAATGATTAGCACGCTAGCTGATGCTTTCAAAATTCACCGTGCACTATTTTTGTCAGGAATGATTGTCCTCAGCACGTCCTTCATATCAATCTTCCTTCTACCGGATATCTCAAGGTCATCTCATACCCAGAGAGAAGCAACAGTTTCACTTCACTGTCTGGACAATATTACTAGACTATCTGTTTGCTCAAGTGTATATGAAAATCATAACAGTTTCAGTTTTTCTGTGTTGCAGAAATGTAGTAATAATGAGACATTTGACCAAGTGACAGAAACCCAAAGAGACAATATAAACTGCATGGTAAACTGTTCTTACCCACAGAACATGAACTTAATCTCTCTTAATTTTACTGAAAATTTCCCATTACCTTCAGGTTTAATTTTTAATATAAGCACTGAACGATCTACTTTCAACATTTGTGATGATGGTAATTGCACAATTATTACTGACACCAATACAGCACCAATGCTGTCTGAATTTTCCAATTTCACCTGTGAGGAGAAGTATCATGCAACATGTTTTTACCACTGTGGTGCTGATGACAGCAGAGATGAAAAGGATGTAACACTCTCAGATGTGATTCATACTCCAGAATTTTGGCTCATATTCATTCTTTTGGTGTTGCTTTATGGAGGAAATTCTACCACCACCACCATGGCAGACACTGTGTGCTTCTCCATTCTGGGTCAAGCTCGTCACAGATATGGTCGTCAGCGTATGTGGGGGAGCGTTGGTTGGGGACTAGTTGGTACAGTAAGTGGAGCTCTGGTAGATCACTATTCCAAAGGAAGTGCACATATCAACTACTCTTCAGCTTTAATTATATCTGGTGTCTTCCTCACACTGAACTTCATTGTTTCTCTGCAGATTCCCTTTTCTTTCTCAAAAAGAGAGAAACTAAAAGCAAAAAATGTTGGCAAAATTATTTGCACTTCGAAGATGATGATTTTTATGGTATGTACTGTATGTTAGTCCTGTATATTTCAATGATTATATATTTCAGTGACTGTATCTTTTGTTTTCCATTTATTTATTGAAATATAAACCTCTTCACTTGGGTTTCTTTTATTTGAAATGTCTTATTGCTTTATTGGTTAAATGAATTTGTTAACTGAATTTCCATGCAGGGGAGGGATATTAGTGTATATATTGAAAGCATATAATACATAATACTATTTTATTTTTATTCCAGCTAACTGTTATAGTGATAGGCTTGACTATGGGAACACTATGGACTTTCCTGTTCATCATAGTGGAAGATGTAGCTGTTACTTGGAATCCAGATTTTCCTAACATGAAACTTTTACAAGGTCTTATGTTAGGAGCACAGTGCTTCCTGGGAGAAGTGCCCTTTCTTTTTTTGTCATGTAAGGAAAAACCTATTTATTTTTGTATTAAAAAGTTAAAATTTGCATGATTTGCACTTTTATATTAAAGTACAGTACACTATAAAATTATAGTAAATTATTTTACATGCATATATAATATAAACATTTTCTGCATTTCAGCATACACCATCAAAAAATTGGGCCAAATCCCCACCTTTGCACTGTCAATGGCAGTATTTTCTCTTCGTCTTCTCCTGTACTCCTGTGTCACCAACCCGTGGTTCTTTCTCCCAGTCGATCTGCTTCATGGGTTATCATTTGGACTCTTCTACCCTAATATGATGAGTTATGCAAGCTTCATGACTCCAAAAGGTGCCCAGGCTACAATGCAAGGAATTGTCAAATCTGTCTTTATTGGTGGTGAGTTAAGTAAAGGTCAATTTCAATATTAATTTTGTAGAGCTTAACCATGTGTCCTAGTACTGTTGCACAGATAGACCATTTTCTCCAAAACGTTCACACTGCTTGTCATTTTTCTTAATTTATTTGACCTGATATTGTTTTACTGTATCCATTATGTAATGTTTATTCATTGGTTATGAGTTTAAAGTTATTTAAAAATTATGGTTATTTAAAAAATTAAACATGATTGCTGGAAGTCTAAGCCCCTCCCACACATAAACTCCTTTACCCCCCCCCCCCTTCCTCCATTTTTGGGGTCACCCAGCCTCAGTGGGAGACAGCTGGTGTGTTGAAAAAAATTACAGTATACAAAGCATTCAATCCAATTATAATATAAGATTATATACATGGTTAACCAGTTGTATTCTAATCAGTAATTGGTCAGTATTTTGTTTATCTTATTTGTAAGTATTTCTTCAAGAATTGAAGTGGAGAATATGGAATAAAGAGGCAGCAGTGTTGGATAAACTGAACAGATGTTTTGCAGGCACAAAACTTAAAAATTAACTTGATGTTTGGGGTGATGAGATATGAGATCTGTTAAAATGAATGATCAGCTGAATGTAATTGTGGAGGGAGTTAATGAAGTACTAATCTGGAAGTGAATATTGGTTAGATGGGATTATATGACAGAGACTGAAAGCCAGTGGTATTTTTTTTTTCTCTCTAACAAGTTGGCCATCTCCCACGGAGGCAGGGTGACCCAAAAAGAAAGAAAATCCCCAAAAAGAAAATACTTTCATCATCATTCAACACTTTCACCTCACTCACACATAATCACTGTTTTTGCAGAGGTGCTCAGAACACAACAGTTTAGAAGCATATACATATAAAGATACACAACATATCCCTCCAAACTGCTAATATCCCGAAACCCCTCCTTTAGAGTGCAGGCATTGTACTTCCCATTTCCAGGAGTCAAGTCCGGCTATATAAAAATAACCGGTTTCCCTGAATCCCTTTACTAAATATTACCCTGCTCACACTCCAACAGATCGTCAGGTCCCAAATACCATTCGTCTCCATTCACTCCTATCGAACACGCTCATGCACACCTGCTGGAAGTCCAAGCCCCTCGCCCACAAAACCTCCCTTACCCCTTCCTTCCAACCTTTTTGATGACAACCCCTACCCCACCTTCCTCTCCATGTCATTTATTTATTTATTTATTTATTAATTTGAACATGATACAGAGAAATACAAGGAATACAATTTTTTAAAGTGCAGCATGCCAAAGCCCCTTGTATCTGGAGAGTTTATCTGGAGAGAGTTCCGGGGGTCAACGCCCCCGCGGCCCGGTCTGTGACCAGGCCTCCTTAGGTCAGTGTCCCAGGATGCGACCCACACCAGTCGACTAACACCCAGGTACCCATTTTACTGATGGGGAACATAGACAACAGGTGGAAAGAAACACGTCCAATGTTTCTACTCTGGCTGGGAATCGAACCCAGGCCCTCACCGTGTGAAGCGAGAGCGTTAACCACCAGGCCACCAGAGCATGCAGAGCATTATGGGCAGGCTTAAAATTTACTTAAGATTAACTAAGCAATGATATATTCAGTGGTACAAAAATTATTGTAAAACAGATAACAGTTGAGTACAAATGAGTATTACAAAGACAGGTCATATGGTCATTTACTGTGTTGTTGTGTAATCAGTAGAATGGAGTATTCTGTTAGGTAATGAAGTTAAATAGTAACAAAGTGTGATTGGGTCACAGGTTGACATTTATGAGATACAATAATGAGATACATATATGAGATACAATTTATGAGATACAATTATTCAGTATTTATTTAGTTGTGGGTAAGTGATATTTGAGAAGAGACTTGAATTTATAAACAGACAGTGTTTCTTTTATATTTACAGGTAATGAATTCCAGATTTTAGGGCCTTTTATGTGCATTGAGTTTTTGCATAGCGTGAGATGAACACGAGGAACATCAAAGAGTGATCTGTGACTTGTGTTATGGCCATGTGTTCTGTTGAGGTTGGTAAGGAGATATTTGAGGGGAGGGTTTATGTCAGAGCTAAGTGTTCTATGTATGTAGTAGGTGCAGTAATAAGTATGGATGTTTTGTATTGTGAGTAGGTTTAGAGTTGTGAATATTGGTGGAGTGTGCTGTCTGTAGTGGGAATTTGTTATCATTCTGACTGCAGCCTTTTGTTGGGTGATTAGTGGTCTGAGATGGTTTATTGTTGTTGAGCCCCATGCACAAATTCCATAGGTGAGATAGGGGTAAATAAGAGAGTGATATAGGGCCAGGAGGGCTGACTGTGGAACATAGTACCGTATCTTCGATAGTATGCCTACGGTCTTGGAAATTCTTTTGGAAATTTGTTGTATATGTGTTTGAAATTTGAGTCTATTATCAAGGTGGATTCCTAAGAATTTTCCCTCTGTGAGTTTTGTGATAGGTGATCCATTTATCATTATGTTAAGAGACACATCTGTAGCTCTGTTACCAAACTGAATGTAGTAGGTTTTGTCAATGTTTAGAGTAAGTTTGTTGGTCCTCATCCAGGTTGATATTTTCTGTAATTCGGTATTTACAGTATTGGCTAGCATGACTGGGCTCGGGTGAGAGTAGACGTATGTAGTGTCATCTGCAAATAGTGTGGGTTTGAGTAGTTGCGATGCATTTGGTAGGTCATTTATGTATATGAGAAAGAGAAGAGGGCCTAGGACACTTCCCTGTGGGACACCAACTGTAATTGGTTGTGCAGAAGAGTTTGCCCCATTTGTGTACACATATTGGCTTCTGTTGCTGAGGTATGACTTTAGGTAGTTGAGGGAGTGCCCTCTTATACCATAGTGCGACAATTTTATTTGGAGCAAGTCGTGGTCAACTGTATCGAAAGCTTTACGTAAGTCAATGAAGATCCCCAGTGGGACTTCTTTTTTCTCTATTGCTGTATAAATATGTTCTAGCATGTGGATAATAGCATCATTAGTATTTTTATTAGGCCTGAACCCAAATTGACAGGGGTTGAGTATGTTGTGGGAGATGAGGTAGGAATAGATACGCTTATGGATTAATTTTTCAAAGATTTTAGAGAGAGGGTGTAAATTGGATATTGGCCTATAGTTATTCAAGTCTGTATGGTCTCCTCCTTTATGGATCGGGGTGACCCTTGCTATTTTGAGAACTGTAGGAAAGGATTCAATGGATTTGTTAAAGAGTGTTGCAATGATTGGTGATAGCACCTGTGACACTTTTTTGTATATAATGGGTGGTAAGGTATTTAAATCTCCTGTCTTGTTTTTTAGTTTGTTGATAATAAGGGAGACTTCAGTTAGGTTAGTCGGAGCTAGGAACAGTGTATTCGGGTAGTTGCCAGTGAGGTAGTCATTGGGTGGGGTATCTGAGCTTGGGATTTTATTGGCAAGGTTTTTTCCTATAGTGGAGAAGAAATCATTAAGTCTGCTGTTTCAGTAGGTGGGAATTGGGGTTCATTCTACTTTGATCCATTCTCTCTCTTTGATCCATTCTCTCAAACCCACACTATTTGCAGATGACACTACATACATCTTCTCTCACCCGAGCCCAGTCATGCTAGCCAATACTGTAAATACCGAATTACAGAAAATATCTACCTGGATGAGGACTAACAAACTTACACTAAACATTGACAAAACCTACTTCATTCAGTTTGGTAACAGAGCTACAGACGTCCCTCTTAACATAATGATAAATGGATCACCTATCACAAAGCTAACAGAGGGAAAATTCTTAGGAATCCACCTTGATAATAGACTCAAATTTCATACACATATACAACAAATTTCTAAGAAAATTTCCAAGACCGTAGGCATACTATCGAAGATACGGTACTATGTTCCACAGTCAGCCCTCCTGGCCCTATATCACTCTCTTATTTACCCCTATCTTACCTATGGAATTTGTGCATGGGGATCAACAACAATTAACCATCTCAGACCACTAATTACCCAACAAAAGGCTGCAGTCAGAATGATAACAAATTCCCACTACAGGCAGCACACTCCACCAATATTCAAAACACTAAACCTACTCACCATACAAAACATCCATACTTATTACTGCACCTATTACATACATAGAACACTTAACTCTGATATTAACCCTCCCCTCAAACATCTCCTTGCCAACCTCAACAGAACACATAACCATAACACAAGGCACAGATCACTCTTTGATGTTCCTCGTGTCCATCTCACGCTATGCAAAAATTCAGTGCACATAAAAGGCCCTAAAATCTGGAATTCATTACCTGTAAATATAAAAGAAACACTACCTGTTTATAAATTCAAGTCTATTCTCAAAGATCACTTACTCACCCAAAACCAAATAAATACTGAATAACTGAACCTTATAAATTGAATATCTTAAATGTTTCTCATAATTATATCACATAAATGTTAAACCTAAGACCCAATCTAACTTTGTTATTTTTTAAATACACTACCTAACAGAATACTCCATTCTACTGAATGTACAGCAATGCATGCAACCATATGACCTGTCTTTGTAATACTCATTTGTGCTTTATTGTTATCTGTTTACAGTAATGTTTTATCACTGATTACATCATTGCTTAGTTAATCTTAAGTTAATTTTAAGCCTGCCCATAATGCTATGCATACAAGTGGCTTTGGCATGCTGCTCTTACCTGTATTTTTTTGTACCTCTGTATGTTCAAATTATTAAATAAATAAATAAATAAATAAATGACCAAACCACCTCAACAACCCCTCTTCAGCCCTCTGACTAATACTTTTATTAACTCCACACCTTCTCCTAATTTCCACACTCCTAATTTTCTGCATAATATTTACACCACACATTGCCCTTAGACAGGACATCTCCACTGCCTCCAACTGCCTACTTGCTGCTGCATTCACAACTCAAGCTTCACACCTATATAAGAGTGTTGGTACTACTATACTTTCATACATTCTCTTCTTTGCCTCCATT